GATGGAAGAATATTTAAGTTCCTACCCTGATGGAATTCGTACCAACAAGGAGTTGGTTCTGCTTTGGGATGAAAATACGTCAGCACCTAGTGGAACATTCGAATGGCTGAAAGAACGATGGTTTTCAGGTCATCATCATATTCGTTGCCCGAAGCGTATGAAGCAGTGCTTTAATAATGACAAGGTTTAAAAAATATTCATTTTTTTTTGTGCACTTATTTACTTTCCCCACTCACATTAATGCTTTGGCAGTGGTTTAGGTCTCTGAAGAAGAAGTGGTGGAGTATTATCAGATGAATGTTTTTGGAAATGAAGTTGACAGACATTCAGATTTCTCTCGATTAGCAAGGATATTAACCGGTAATGCAGTTGGGTTGGTTCTTGGTGGCGGAGGAGCCAGGTGACACTTCGACTCTTTTCTTTAGTAATTTTTACTGAAGGATTTTTTAATTTGCAATTTGCTCTAAATTTAATATTGCTTTTACTGCCTTAGGGGCGCTGCACATATAGGAGTAATTAAAGCAATGCAAGAATACGGCATTCCTGTTGATATGGTTGCTGGTGTTTCTATCGGTTCTCTTATTGGTGGTTTGTATGCGGAATCCCCGAAAGAATTGGAATTTAAAGCGAAAATGTGGTTTCAGGTTAGTTGACTTTTTGGCTGCTTAAAAATTGTTTCAGGCTCTTTATTTTCTTCAAGTCGAGTATAAAAGTAGCTGCTAATTCATTTGTGAAGCACTGTTGTACGTGTGAGTTTTTCCAATACAAAAGTATTCACAAGTATCAAGTTCTTTAACAACTTAGTTTCAACAGTTTTAACTAAAAAATTAATTTATTTAGATGATGTGTTCGTTCTGGCGCCAAATCTGGGATTTAACGTATGCCCATTCAGCCATGTTTACAGGAGCTGGTTTCAACAAAACCTTGTCAACGGTGTTTGGAAATAGACAAATTGAGGATTTATGGATTTCTTACTTTTGTATTTCTACAGATATCAGGTGAATATCGGAAATCTTGCTTCTTTGAACAATTTTAAATTTTTTTTATTAGGTGATTGTTGGGTATCTAAGTTTTTTTAGCGAGTCGGTGATGCGTGTTCATCGCCGTGGTCCTCTTTGGGCGTACAGTCGGTCCTCTATGTCGCTAGCTGGGTACCTTCCTCCTTTGTGTGATCCCATCGATGGACATCTACTTCTCGACGGTGGCTATGTGAATAACTTACCTGCGGATGTCATGAAGTATGTGCTAGAGCGGTGTGAAATGCGATTTTCCTCATCTTTGTTAGAACATAAAGCACTTATTTAAAGGACTATGGGGGCGAAAATAGTCATTGCTATCGACGTTGGCTCTCCTGCTGAAACTGATCTTTATAATTATGGAGATTCTCTAAGCGGTTTTTGGGTGTTGTTCAGAAGGTTTAACCCTTTTAGCGAAAGTGTCAAAGTTTTGAACATGGAAGAAATACAGGTTCTGTTTAAACTCTGGAAAAATCTATCCTTATTTCTTGCCGTCTATTTAGATGGTTCCTATGCAGATATGATAGCTTTTATTCTTCCCATGTTGCTAGGAATTTTGAAACTTTCTAGAGTCGTCTTGCATATGTGTCATGCGTCCAACATTTGGAACAAGTTAAAAAGGCGTCGTATTGTCAGTATATCAGACCACCAATCGACCCCTTTAAAACACTAGATTTTGCCAAATTTGACCAGATATACGTAAGTAGTTGTGGCACTATACCTTTCATTTTTTTCATCAATCATGCCATTAAATGTAATACTGAGGACCTTGATACCGAGCGTAGGTTCGCGGTGAAAATTTAGATTTTATTGTAACCTTTGTTGGTAGTTGATGTCGTCTGTTCTTAGTATATTTTTGAAAATATGTGAGAAGGCTTAGTTATTTGTAATCACTAACAAAATTAAGTTCTGTTATTGGAGTTAGTGGCTGTTGATTAAGAAATAACAATTTTGCAATTGAATTCGATTGAGAGTAGGTTGAATTTTTGAAATACATGAACTTGTTTTCATTTAATCTGCCATAATTGCTTAATATCATGTGTGAGTCTTATAGGACATTGGATATCAGCATGGGAAAGAAGTCTTTCGCAACTTAGTTGAGGGAAATGAGGCTATTATGGATATAATCGGCACTAAAAAACGACAGTCACTAAGGTTACGAAAAGCAGAAATGTTGAAGCTGGGAACTTACAGTCGTTCTCGTGCATCCTCATTTGCAAATCTTGCTGCACAAGTTTCATGGATTCCAAAAAATCAAAGTCATGGAAGTTCGTTGGAAGAAGAAGAGGAGCTTGACGAAGACATCTTAGGGAAAATTCATGAAGATGAAATTCATACTGAAATTCTAGACGATAATGCATCACTGAGTAGTGAATTAGGCTACTCTAGTGAACCTTGTACGATAAGAAAGGACTTCTTCTTTTCTGATGGGAGTGCAGATGAAGAAGTATACTACAGAATTGAAGAAGTAAATGGTGCACCGGATCGTCAGGGTCACTTACAAAATTCTTCCACAATCAATGCTAAAGTAACAGGGAAGTTACTAGGAGCAGAAGCACAAGTTCAGAAGGAATAACTTTTTGGTTTTTTTTGACATACAGAGTTTGGTTTTTTATGCGCTTTCGAAGTAGGTGGGGAGTTTCGATATCTTTTTTTTGCTTAGTCTGAGAAAAGGTTCTTTTTGCCGCGATTCTTTAGTGAGTTTTTTTAAAATTATGGCAGTTATTACTATTAAAATGACATACGGTTCTATGAAAAAATCAGTTTCACGCAGTGTTTTTATCTTTTAAAAGCCAATATTTTGAACTTTATAATTTGCACTATTATCAAAAACTGCGCTAGACGAAAGTGGTTATATTCATAAGACTTGTTTGACTTTGCACAATTTTTTTACAGATTAAGTTGAAATCTTGACATAATCTGTGACCTTTCTTTTTTTGTGTTATACTTATTTGGAACTTGTATTTTTCTACAATTTTTATTTCTTTGCTTTTACGAAGATGTCTAAATAAGAGGTATATATATATATGTTTACGCTAGTTTTTTTTCCAAGTTTTCTATTATTAGGTTAATGTGCACTTTTCAGGCAATGTGAGGTAACAGTGTCAAGTGCAAGAGTTTTCCTTTTTATGGTTCACTTAGTTGCTAAGCACTGTGATGAAATAAAAATTTCAAACTTTAGATTAATTTATTACGGCTAAGTACCGTGTACGTGTGGTTTTGTGATTTCGTAGTATTGCTCACTCGTTTTGCTTTGTGGAAAAAAGAAGACGTTATATTGGGTTTACGAGTTTATGTATTTCTTTTATTATTTGCAAAATTTATTGTTTGTTATAGGTCATCGATGTTTTTTGGATCTCTTTTTTGTATTGCTTTATGCCTGACTGGATACCATACTGTAAGTTTTAAAGTTGCTCAGTGTTTCATCGTTTATTTCTGCATATTTTGTTGGACACTAGTTTTTTTTTACCATTTAATGTGTAGAGATACGTTAGAGGTCTCTTATTGTTGTATAGATAAGTGGTAGCACTTATTTAATGTTGTAAGCCATTTTTGGATGCATAGGCAATTTGGTGATATGTATAGAATGTCGCGCCCCAATTATAGAATTTTTCTTTTGTTTTTTATTTTTTTGGCATTTATGATAGCTTATTGGAATAATTACATTGAATTCTTCATTTGTTTTGGATAGCAGGGGTTGTTCAGGTGCGCGTCATGCTATACAGTTCCCATAGTTGTAGAGAATTTTTCAAATGTTTATAAGCTTATTGTTTGTTGTTGAATCTTTTATCTTCTCTGTTTCGCATCAGTAGGCATGTTATTAAGGACCGAAGGAATTTTGTGGAACAGTATCGCTTAATGGTTTTCCATTCTTTTTAGTTTTTGAATTTATTTGTGAAGGACAGTTTTGTTTGGAGTATAGGTACTTTCTTTTTGTAACCTTTGTTAAGTCATGGATTACAGTTGTTTTTTATTCTGTTAAAAAATTCCTGAGTGACGAAGTCGGAAGAGTCGTTTGCGTCTTTTCTCGTTTGCTTAGAAAAACTTCTAGTTCAATTAATTATGGGTTTAGTACCACCGGAAACAAAAAATTATCACGACTCAGATTTCAATTTTGGATTTTTTATTTCTTTTTTGAACTTTAGTTTAATTCGATTACGCCGGTGATCACAGTGATTCATATTTAATTCCAGTGATTTTGAAACTTTCTTTTAAATTATTTATTCATTTCAGATGTGTATACATTGTTTTATTGTTTAAAAAAGCGAATAAATGGTTTTTTTTTTTTTTGAAGACACTGATGTAAGACAGAATTGTTGAAGACAAAAATTATGATCAAAATTCTTCATTTATTCTTCGCTGTTTTTTAGGTATTTAGGAGGAGAAAAGGGGGAGTTGTGAAGAGAGAGGGCTTATTTACGGAAATAACCGTAAGAATGCTGCAGTGTTGTATGGGCACTAG